TTTTTTTTTTTTTTTTTTTTTTCAACAATTGATTTCTACATCTATGAAAATAATATAAATACAAATCTTATTTCTTTATAAATATAAATAAGCCAAAATACCTAAATAAAAGCAAAAATTTTCGATAAAAGAAATTTGTACATCCTAAGGCTTAAAAGAGCCAAATGGTGTTCAAATCATCATCATCTTCAAGATGGCAAAACTATGGTGGAACAGTTTGTTGAAATTGAATTTTTGAACAGTTGATTCAATCAACAAGAACGAAAACTGATATGGATCCTACAAACAGTAGTAATTTTTCGTGCAAATGAATAATACTTGCAAACATTAACTATTGACATTTTTTTATTTCTTATTTTTTGGGGAATAAACTAAAATAGAAAAGTTTATCATTGGAACATTTGTATTGGAGCTGTTGACTGTGAGGCCTAGTTAGATATTGACGATAGTGATGGTTCGGGTTTTGTGAGTAGTGGACTTGGATGTGTAATGCCCCAAATTTTCATAATACTGGAGCGTTACCAAAAATTTCTTTTTTTGTTTACTTTATATGTGAAAAGATCAAAATAAAATTATTTAATAAATAATAACTGCGACATTCATAAATTTAAATTAAACATAGCAATTATATCTGAAAATTACACTAAACATGCCTTAAAATAAATTAACAAATAATTATGAAGGCTGAAAAACTTAATGAAAAATTTGCTTTGTTACTACAATCCTCTTGGCAGCCTGCATCAACGCTCTTCCACAATTTCAATCGATCCGAACTAACCTAAAAAAAATTTGTAGGAGTGAGTATTCGAAAACACCTAGTTAGATACGTGCAGTTTCCATATTCAGATATATAACAATAAAATCTACGTTTCATACTGCTTTGCTCTTATGGAGCATATCGGTGATCAAGCGACACACTCATCTTAGGTACTCTTATATCTCGTAAGATTTCATTTCTCTTTATATAGAACCCGAAGGCCCACTAGCAATCCACACATATTTAATTGCATATAAATGCATATAGAAACGAAAACAACTTGCAGATATGTATCTTACCTCGTTGACCTGAAAAGTTGTAATGGACCTGAAAAATGCACGTGAAAACCTTTTTTAATGCTTCATTTTTTCTGACTTGACTATTTATTTTCTTTAGGTAAAAGCTTTCTGAATTTTTTGTTGGTATTCTACTTGGAATACTTGAGCCTTACTAGGGGTGGCTAGAGTAAAAAATAAGTCATATCTCAACCAAAAGATTTATTTGATTTAAATAATTTTATTTTTAAGTTTAATATTAATCTTAATTTCATTTTAAACTAGTGCATATCTAAATTATTTGTGCCAGCAGCTTTTTGACTTAATAGATAATAAGGAATTTCTTTGCTGAAAACTTATAAGAAGTTTGAAAAGTCTTGGTGTCCCACTTACCTGCACACTCCTATTAATTTATATATCTTCACTTGTGCATGCATGGAATAACAAAAGATAAGTCATATCTCAACCAAAAGTGAAGATATATATAAAATAATAGGAGTGTGCAGGTGAGTGGGATGCCAAGACTTTTCAAACTTCTTATAAGATTTCAGCAAAGAAATCCCATATTATCTATTAAGTTAAAAAGCTGCTGGGCACAAATAATTTAAATATGTACTAGTTTAAAATGAAATTAGAATTAATATTAAACTTAAAAAAAAAAAATTTGTTTTTTTTTTTTTGGAGAGAGAAAGTGAATTGTTTTATTATTTATATAAAATTCTCTTTATCCTATTTTCTTTTAATTGGATCTAACGTAATGTGTTTTAATCCAAAATAACTTTTTCTCGAGTCAAAGACTTCTAATTTATTACGATCTATAAAATGAGTCCAATATTGATATACTAAATCTCGCTCTAACAATATCTAATTATTTGGAAAAGATAAAACATAAATTTAAACCTTTTTTTTTTTTTTTCATTTTAGTCCTCGACTTTCAAAATGTAAATATATAAATAAAATTTATTCTAAAATTTTCAGGAGCTGTTGGTTTACTTGTATATATGGGTGTGTTGGTATATTTGGGTTATGGTATATTAGACTGGTTAGTGTTTTGAAGTGTGGATTGGGCTATTGGATAAATAGGCTTGGGCAGTGGATTGGGTTGGTTCGTGGTCTGGTATATATGGTCCTTTTTTGAACAAATGGGCAATAACAATTATGAAAAGTCGAGAACAAAACGAAATTGATTTTTTTTTTTTTTTTGGTTGGTTGAGCCCCATTTTTTTGGGGTTCAAAATTCATTTTAGAATAGTATCTTGGTGAAGAATGTGTGGCTAAAAAATACAGAAAAGTTTTGGGTTTGAGTATAATATTATTTTATTGAAAAATGTATGGTTGAAAATAAGAAAAAGAAAAATGTATTTTGGAAATAACGCGGACCAAAAATTGGCTAAACAAGATGAACTGGTACTTTTTTTTTGGGAACTAACTAAGAATAAAAAGTAAGGAATTGGATAAAACTATCGGTGCTGCTGATCCTAGATTTGTGTATAATTTGGGAGTATGTGGCTATGGATTCGAGAAAGGAAGAGGAAGATCAAAGGAGAAGGGCTTGCTTTGATACTAAATTGACGTATGTGCGTATTAATTTGACAACAAACAATTAAAGAACAGGAAGAGAAAAGAGTCCAAGAAGAGAGAAATTGATGGCAAAGAAGAAAATCAATTTATCCATATATTCAAGAGGTCTCTATTATAATAAATAAGTCCTCTATTTATATAACAGATAATATAAACTAATCGAACTTCTAATCAATTAGAACTTTATCGAATTATTGAAACTGATTTAATCTAAATAACATAAACATACATTGAATTAAACTCTAATTTAAAGTCACATCTGAACTCATCTTTATTCTATTTTATATCGATCAGAACTTCAAACAATTTTATTTGAGTGAACTACAGTTGTTTCCATGAAGTATGCCCTTTCAATATGCATGTATGAAGGCTGTTCAGTCTGTTTCTCTTTCCAAATTGGAGGTGTACTTTCTGAATTCTTGGTTCTGTCTGCTTGACAGGCAATAACACTGTAACATTTGACTTTTAGTTAATGACATATTGTGTATCAATTAGATTTGAGTCAGGGTGTGAAATATTGGGATTATGTGTGTGATTATGATCCCACGGAGTATCTGTGCTTTTTACCTCTCCTTTCTTGCCTATTTGTTTCATGGACAGAAACATCCCAAACTTATAAATTGTACTTCATAGTGTGAATTGGCAAAATTTGATTGCAGTAATTATTGTCGATGATCATGATGATTATTCTGATATTAATCCTTCTTGCCTGCTTGTATCCTGGTTTCATTGGCTTTGATGCATTGGTAGTTTAATGACAAAAAATAATACTATAATACAAGTTGTATACTCCTATTTAAGAGGCCACCTGAGGATGACAATTTGAACCATCAAAATCGAAAATCGCGGTTAACCGAACTGAATGGGGCGAAAAAAATAGAACCGATGGTGCAATGGGGCGGATATGATTTTTATTTTTATGAACTGGTTCGTGGTGGTACGGGTATGGTATTTACGCCGTCGAACCGAAATCGAACCGATTGCCCGCTTAAAAAAAAATCAATTGAATTGATTATTGAGCTTTACACTACTTTTTTTCTAGCCCAAAACAAAATCCCCCCATTATATCTACATGATTCAGCCGACCAACCTACTTACCATTAGCCCATAATAATAGCATTAGTATGACAGTATATTAATGCAAACCCTACTCTCCACAGACCACAAACTCACGCACGGTTCCTTTTATTGTTAATTTTTTCTATTGTGTGTAGAAAATTCTACTTCTTCATCATACTCTAGAGCTTGTGCAACATTTAGCGAGAAAGAAGCCGACGAAGAGGTACATTTTTTTTATTTAAATCTTAGTTAAGACCATTCTGGAATAGGTAGTATCGTTGTATTCTCAACTTACATTTCTTATTTACTATATATGAATCAACTTTGAGTGTTGATCTATGCTAGTAAGACTTATGGGGAAGAATGAATTTAGTAATTTCGATCCAGAACAATTAAGAATGAAGGAAAAATTTAATATTGTTATATTTATAAGATTGTTTGTTAAATTTGTATTTTACAATTGAAAATTTGGATAATGCTTGCATTTTCGTTTAGAATATTGTGTTTTTGTTATCATTGACATTTTTCATAAATTGTTTTATATCAATTTGACGGATGAACTTATAAAAAATAATTTATTTCCGTGGTTATTAACCGAACCGAACCGTGCCAAACCGAGATACGAACCGAACCGAACCGATTTACGTGGTTATGGTGCGGTTATGGTATGGTCAAAAAATTGGTGGTGCGGTTATGGATTTGGCAAAAACCGACCCATAACCGAACCGTTGCCAACCCTAAGGCCACCCAGCTATCTATAATATTCTGTTGTACCTGATGTATGTCGATTATTATTGCAGAACTGGGTAGTATTCAGGCAAGGAATAGAATGTGGTTTTCAAGGTAGAACAAATAAATTGGTCGACGGCTGCTATTCCTTTTGGCAGGTGAATGTCAATTGCCAGTTTGTTATAAGTTATATCTAATCAAATTTCAGTAAGGTAGAAGGTATATTCCACCGCCTCTTCCCCTATTTTTTTAAAATGCAAATTGGTATTTTTATTGGCTTTGATGCATTGGTAGATTAGTGATTGCCCTTGTGCTTTTCTATCAATCTCCATATGTTTAAAAAGCAGAGACTTGTTTCTAAAATTATGCAAATTACTGACTTATTGACTGGATGTGTGTCGGAACATATCAAAATGGTTTTGACACATATTAATCAGAGCAGCAAGAATGCATTCTTTTGACTGAACTTGATTGTTGACTGATACAAGTGATTATTGGAGACAAAACGTGAGGGTAAAATCCATTGCCAACACAGTAAAATCAATGAATGTAGGGGGAACACTGGGCGTGATCAAGATTAAGGCCCAGTTTGGTAGCCATTTTTTTCAAAATGCATTTTTCTGCATTTTTCTCTCTTCTTTTTAACCACACATTCTTTATTAAAATAATATTATACGTAAATAAAAATTTTTTCCTTATTTCTCAACCACACATTTTACATTAATTTACTATTCTAAAATGCATTCTTACATAAAAATGTCTATCAAACACCCCCTAATTGTCCAAATTTTGACTCACGAGTACTAGTTTTCTATTTTGTGTTTTCTGTTTTCTAATGTCACCACGGGTAATAGTCCTTCAACTGTGTAATAATTTGGAGCATGGTATATCACCTCCCTTTATATGGAAATAAGTATATTTAAGAATGTTTTGTAGAGTACTAGACAAGATTTTAACTTATATTTCTTCTTTACTTTTAATATTGTCCAGTACCATGTTGTCACCCTACCAAACCATTAATGCACTAAGGTGCAATAGATATTCCTATTCTTTTTACACAAGGAGAAGTGGTTTTTGTACATAGGGAAGGTTGTTTTCCATAGACTGAAGGGTGACATGCCACTGCCAGTGTACAAATTAGTTGTCTATAATATGTTTACTTAATATTTAATACATGACTTCTGACCAGGGAGGAGTGGCTGCACTGATACAACGACTACAGTTGATTGTTAATGATCAAATGGGGCTGTCCAATATCCTAGAATGCGATTGCAGTACGGATAGTGACTATGATTCTATAAATTCAGATATTTCTGCAGACGAACAATCTTTAGAGGGTACTTCTTCCCATGTAAATGAGATGTGCCAAATTCGGGAAGAAGGTAAGAAACTCAAAAGAACACAGAGTCTCTTAAATTGGCCTCTCTTTTGACCGATCTGCTTTATCTCACTCCTTTTTTCTATGTTCCTTTAACTCCTCTTTTGGGCCCTATTTCTCATGGCAGAAATGATCTAGTAATGCTTTTTTGTTCCTCAGCTGCAGGGCAACCCAATACTTCTCATCTAGCTGATGTAAACAATGTTGGTTACAATTTTATCAAAGGACACGTACACATGAAACCTCTTTTCAACAACATGGCATTGCAACAATATATTCTTCTCTGTTCGCAGGTATTTTGATTTCCTGTATCTTATATTTGAGTTGCTTGATATGATTTATCAACTGTGAAATTCCTCCACAGGCACATGAATGCACACATGAAAAAACAAGGAACATCATAACAAAAGATAAGCTGAATATAAGTGGAATACATACAATTTCGTTCTCCCAGCTTATTTTGTGTTTCTCGAATAGTTGTTCGATATTAAGTTTTGGATCCATTGACCTCTAAACAAAAGTCCCCTTACACCATGGATACTCGGATACTTCGAGAATATAATTTGCTTTGATTCCATATTTCAAAGTTCCTCCTTCTCCCTCGAATCTCCACCTCTTTTTCGAAAGATTTGGTTTCTATGGCTGTGAAGTTCTTGCAATGTGAACCTGATATGATGTTTGCAAGTAGAGTGCTAACTTGATGTCTTGTTGGGGGAAGTTTGCAATTTTTGTCATACAGAACCCACTTCTTTGCTATCTATTACTACTTGTATACAATTACTAGAACCTTAGAACTATGTGACATGTTTGATAAGGGGATTAGATAATACTGAACAGTGTTATGCCCCTGTTTGGCCCCCATTTTCTAAAACTTATTTTGAACCACACATTTCATTAATCACAACTTTTATAAACTTTTCAGCCTAAAATCTAATTTTTAGCTAGACCAAACAGGACCGAATAAGTTTATACTGTATTATGTATTATTTAGTACAGTACAACATTGTTTGCCACAAACAGTACCAAAAGTTTAACTCTCATTGTCCTTTCCTCCGTCATTTGCAATTTAAGTTAAAAGATTCTGATATGGTTTGTTGATGTAGGAGGAGGGAGGTTTCAGAGACAAACCTGGGAAAAGCAGAGATCACTATCATACATGTTACTGTCTAAGTGGCCTATCAGTCAGCCAGTATAGCTGCACAAAGGATGTCGGTTCTCCTCCGCTGCCACAGGATGTACTGGGGCCTTATTCCAACCTACTGGAACGAGTTCACCCGCTCTATAACGTTGTTTTGGACCGTTACTACGAAGCAAATGAATTCTTCAAGGCAAATTCTCTGTAGCTGGCATTTGCCATTTTTATTTTATTTTTATTTTTTTCTTTGGTGGGGGGTGGGTTGGGGTGGGGGTTGGGGTTGGTAGTTTCAGTCATTTTCTCAAACTTAAATGTCCAGTTAATTTATACTGGATTTAAAAGGATCTGGGGTATTAGTTCCCATGTCATATTTTCTGAAATTGTAGTGGGCTTGAAAGACCATGGTGATGTGAGGTGTTGAGGTCATATGCGATTAACTTAATATTAATCAACAAATTTCTGTTGAGTTAGGGAAGTTGCTACGTTTTCATTTTAAACTTTGGGGCATAGTTTCGCTTTTCTGGCAATGCCTTCTACTCAATGAACAATGTGGAAACGTGTGCTATGATGAATGTGTGATTATGATAAAATACATAAACTAAGAACTGAGAATTACGCCCCATTTTGTCTCCATTAAATTACATTCAATTACACTCTATTTTTCTCTTATTTTTAACTACACAATCTTACATAAAATAATATTACACGTAAATCGAATATTATTACTTCTTTTTTAACAATTCATTTGTTGAAAAAAAAAAAAATAATAATAAAATATATATATATTATTCCACCCATTCTCATTTTCAAAAAAGGGCAAGCGGGGCGTAGCGTGGGTGACTAGAATCAAGGAAAAAGTAACGAGGTGGGTTTCCTGTCTACATAACTCGGTTGACTCCAAAAGCAGAAAGGATGGAACTAAAAAAAAAAGATAGAACTAAACTACCGGACTCACGAGATCAAATTTAGCATAGCCCCCGTTTGGCCTCCATTCTTTTGAAATTTTAATGGTTGGAATAGTATTTTTTGAAAAATGTATAGGTGAAAAAGAATGAAAAATTTTCGATATGCACATAATATTATTTTATGGACGATTATGTTGTTAAAAATAAGAGAGAAAAAGAATGAGAATGGTGCCAGTTTTCAAATACTAAAGAAGAAGTACTCTGTTAGATTTACTTCATCGGTACTTAAATATGCTATTTCCACTTTTGGAGATTATAAATGAGGGGTACTTTTCAATAGGGGGAACGAGGTTCGATTTGAACGATTTGTGTTATATTTTCAACTTAAATCATTTTATGCGGTTTGATTTTTTTCAAACCAAACCAAACAATTTTATTTTTTGAACCAAACCAAACCATAATTTGCGGTTTGGTTTGGTTTTGATCCGCGGTTTACCGTTCGACATTATAGTAATGTATTTAACATAAGTTAAATATAAGTTTAAACAAGAATTAATAATGTTAAATGTTAAATTACATTCATATTTACCATGAAATTCATGAATAAATTATTTTCAAAATTGATTTCTAAAAGATGTTAATAGAACAAATACACATTTCTTTAATTTTATTTACCTTTTCTTGTTTGATTTCATATTGTTATATAGCGATTGGTAAAGATAGAATTACATTATGTTATTATAGTTTGGTAAAGCTCCTTTCATTTGTTAGTGAAATGTTAAATAAGAATTGAACGGGATATGTTTAAATGTACAAAGATTGATAGAGTTTTGACTTATTGGGAATTAACTAATTTCATCCTCTAATTACTTTATGAAAGTAGAAGGTAGTAGTACTAGTAAGAGAATTTTAACATTTTCGCACAATCAATACGCTCAGTCATTTATTCTTTTCAAATTACAAAAAAGTTCATTAATCATTTAGACACACAAGTAATCATTTTTCTATCCAAACCGCAATTCACTAGTGTATAATAAGTTCAAAAAGAAAAATAAATAAATAACAATGGAAAAAGGCTTGAATAAGAATCTAAAACTTACTGAAAGAGAAAGAGGTAATTCAGGTAAAGATTAGTAGACTAAAAGGCAAAGGAGAATAACGATTCGTTCAGCAGTAGCAAACAAGGGTCAAATGTTAGAGAAATGAGAATTTATGTTAGGATTTCTGAAACTTTGGACATGATTTGCTGACATAGTTTTATTGAATTATGATTTGGATTGTTGAATATATATATATATATTCATTTCATATGATTTTTGAATAATTTTAGTTTAGTTTTAAATATCGGGTGAGTACATGTGTTGTAAATCTCTTCAATCATAGTTCAATAATGATGAACCTAATTTACTTTCCATGATTATTTCAATAGGCTGATTGTAATTTGTGTTGCTAAATCGGTATTTTTTTTAAAGTGAAAACTGTAAAATTTTTAAGTTAATAAAATTAATGTTTTAATTAAAAGATTTTATAAACGGTTCGGTTCGATTTTGTGCAATTTTTTAAAATCAAAACCTGAATCAAACTATTTTGAAACTGTTTCGTTCGGTTTGAAGGAAAAGAAGGTCCAACCAACGATTTCAACTCGACGAGTTAGGTTCAATTTGCGATTTTGCGATTTTTTTTGCAGCCCTACTTTTCAATTGACATTATTTGTCATCTTAATTCTAAGTTGACAAATAAGAGCATTTCTAATAGAGTCATGGATTTCGTCAAAAAGTGTGCCAAGTTACTTCAAAATGCTTGTATGACAAGGAAAAGATGGATAATGTTTTGCAAATCATCCACATGTTAAAGGTGTGTCAGACATTCTTCACTTAATTTTATAATTTCTTTATTGATGATGTGTTCGTTTAATTTTTTATAATTTATTTTCATTATTTCTTTACATCATCTCTTGTAATGTAATCCAAATCTCCATTGGAGATGCTCCACTCCATTCTCATTTTGCTTGCCACATTATAGGTCAAATTAAGGGGGATAAAAAAGGGAATAGTGGAGGAACATACAAGAAGATAGAGGGCAAGAAAACTAGATTTTCAAGAACTTGATGTGAAGAAACGAATTCTTGGCGTAAGAAGTTCGATCTTTCCTCCTCCTTTCTTAGAACCAGGTGATATATTCCAAAATCCTTTTATATTTTCTTTCTGTTATTATGTATAACTAATCATTAGTTGAAACGCATGATGTAACCTAGACTTGAATATTTAATTTTTAATTCTCAAGATATGCATATTTAATTGACTTGTGTATTAATTTTACTTATTTTATTCATGCTAGAATTACTTGATCGCTCATTCGTAATTGTGGACTGTAAAAAATCAAGAGGTGAGTTACAAATTTAGACCATGTTGTCAAATTTGGCAACTGGGTAATTGGTAAAGATACAAATTTATATTGTTGTGGACTTGAAGAGATAATTGTTGATGTTTCGCGCGGGTTAGTCGCTAACAATTAAAAAGGATCAGACGATTGTGTAAGGGGCAAACCTCTTGAGACAATCCCAAAAAGGGGTGTTCTTTTATTGGCGATAATTTTACAATTGGAAATTAAAAACAATGTGCCTCCAAGGGGCGCAAGCACACGAGTTACTGAAAGAAAAGTGTTTAAGTCTAAACTAAGGAAATTAAAATTACATGTTCTCTATTCGAAAGTTTTTGATTCGATCCTTTGCTCTATGTTTTTTCTCCCTTTTATACTTCATGGACGACCTCTTTGTGATCAACCGCCTAAAAACCGCTTGATCGTCCTATAACTGCCCACTTTCCTCGTAATGACCAACTTGTCACGAAAACTGTCTTTTTTAACTGCTGCCATTACTCTTCGTCGTTCAATCGCTTTCGATTGAATTCCTTGAATCGTGGAACGTGATAGGGCTGCTTTAATAACTGCTTTGATAACTGCACGTCTTGATAACCACAACGCTTTATGTTTGTTAAGACCTTGGGCGACTTGAAGGTTTGGGCGAAAATAGAGTAACAGCTCTGAGCGACTGTATGACACTCCATTCGCTCAGATTCTGGACGACTTGCAAACTTGGGCGATGGCGTTACCGCATTCTTGGGCCTCCCTATTTGGGCCTTCATCTTGATTTGTTTGATTGGGCTTCGTTCTTTAGGCTATCTGATTTGGGGATCCTCCAATTGGGCTTCACTCCTTGGGCTGTTCGATTCGGGCTGAATTTTTATGTGTCAACAATTACCCCCCAATATGACAGAATTAATAATAATTATTAAATTTTGCCATATTCACTTTGTGTTTCTAGCAACATTCGAAATTTCCAAGAATTTCAATCATTGTTTTCTTCTATAACTTGAAAAGGTGCGTCGTTTTGCAAACTCTTATAACCCCCAAACACGCCATTTCACTGCACCACTAAATCACGCCTCAAATTTTTCGCGTCTCTCCCACGATTTACTGTTCATCTTTTGCTTCCCTGCTACGTAACCCTGAAAAACTTCGTTCCATCTCAAATGGTTACTTCACAATCTCAAACTGGCGACTCCTTTAGTTTTGATGACTTTCAGAAACTCCTGAGTCGTCCATACATAACTCCGAGTTTTCTCGGGCCCGCCGATGTTGAATGCAATGAGTTCTACTTAGGTCCTTTCTTCAACAATGCAGAGGCAGTTGAACAGGCGGCGGTGGGTCAGCTGTTTCCTTGTACTCAAGGCCCTCCATTTCTAAACTCTCTCCGCTCGGGCCACTTCGCGAGAGAGGTATTCGCACTTGACCTAAATCTGATGTAGCTTTCCGTAGGTGGCATGCTCGCCTTGTAGGTCATGGTCCTACTAAGGCACTTTTTGATAGCGCTAGGATTTTTGATTTGTTAGAAATCTCTATTCACCCCCTACTTTTGATTTAGCACTTTTTTCGATTGCTTTGGGTTTTTGGTCTTCCTAGTATAATGCTTTTATTTTCCCTCTTGGCCCCATGTCTATTACCTTAAGGGATGTTGGGGCCCTAGTGAATCTACCACCTTTGGGCGATACCATTTTTCCTGGTATCTTGGTTTCTAGTGGCGCCCCAAAGTTTAGTAAAAACTACACCGAATCTTATTCAAGCCTATAAACCCTTCACAATCATTCGAGCGCTGAGCCTTCCCATACTGAGCGAGTGGCCTTCCTTCTAGTTTGGCTTTGTAAATATGTTTTGTGTGTGCCAAGCATAAAGCCCTCCCTAAGTTACTTACCTATAGCGCATGAATTGGCGCGTGGCAGGCCTTTGAATTTATGTTCTTTATTTTTTGCTGCCCTTTATAGAGGTATGGCCTCTCTTTATACTCAATTGAAGAATGGTGCATCTCCCACTGGCAGTGGACCTCTTTGGTTCACTCAACTGTGGTTGAGTTCCTATTTTCCATTGGTTGGTGCTCCATCAATTTCTCGCTCCTCTGCTAGCTGTTATGGGCTAGCCATGGAACCCTTGGCTCCTGTAAATATGTCCAGAAGGGACATTTTTTCATTCTTTTATTCTTTGGATTCAATCTCTTCCTTTTTTCCTTTTCCTCCTT